GTTTTAAATCCATATATTTATAACCATAATGTACATATTTTGGAGGTGAGGGGTGCAATTTTTGTCCCATTGAATTAAGTAATGTACTTAATTTAACTGTATTTCTCCGCAGCAGTCCCATGATGACTTTCAGAGTAGGCTTATAAACAGAAAAGACTTTTAATATTTTCCAGAGGAATAGTTGATTTTTCTATGATCTCAAAACCCTTGCTTCTAATAATATGTCTTCTAGTTTGGGAAAGTGACTTTGCTCTCTTGTTGTATTAATGTGCATTACTACTTCCACTGTTAAGAGGAAAAGTGGGGCCAGCAAATACTCTGGTTTCATTTTCTCACTTTTAAGAAAAGAAACAAACACTTTGCTTCAAGTAATCTCCTACTTCAGTACAAAACACCTTTGGAGAAAATGGCATACCATAATATGTTCTTAGAAATAAATTACTGGTAAGTATTTGTTCCTGATACATAAGATCTGTTTATTTCCTTTATTTTATATTGACTCATATTTCAATGTTCACTGAGATGAAACAAATGCTACTGAGTAGAAATCTCAGGATTTTCTGAGTAGAGCCTTACACATTTTGCCTTATTTGTCATTTGCATTTTGAAACACAGGCCTTCTTTGGTGTTTATCCATTCATAGGAGAGAAGTAACTGGTTTTGTGGATGAGCACTAGAAGCAGAGACAAAAGACTTAAAGAAAAATCATGCAATTTGCCTATGTTTTTAGCCTTGTGCTCCTTTTCAGAATTGTGATACATTGTTCATAGTTATAGATCATGTGTTTAATGCTGTTCCTACATTTATAATTTATCAATAGATGCAATTCTCATTCACAGCTACAAAATGTTAGGAAACAGAATATGCTAGGAATATTTTTAGGAAAAGACCTTGGAGAACTTTTGTTATGTCTCAGTAGATGTAGAGCTAAGGCTCTTACTATGGTCTGGTTGAATACATGAGGTGTAAGATTGCAAACTTATTCTTCTTAAAGTCAAGTGTTCTTTTATTTGCCACTGAAGCCATCCCAACAGATAGGTACATAATAAAATATTTGGAATTTTTAACTGTTTAAAGGGTAGATCATACGATCCTAAAAGTGGATCAACAAGGAAGTAGTGAATTCTAATTTTTATTTATTGTTTTT